AGCCCCTTTTCATCCCCAAGGTTTGTGCAGGGAACAGCTCTCCCACACCTGCTTAACCACAGCCTCAGCCAACTTTCGTCTGTTCTGTGACCGATGGAGGGGAGCAAACGTTACCTTTCCCAGCAGACTTTGGTTCACACCTCAGAAATTAAATTGGACCTAAGCTTCTCCTGGATCCATCAGCCTTTGGAGGAGCCTGGGCAGAGAGTGCAGGAGCAGAAACAGATCTGTGTCCATCCATTACTATGAGGACGTCTTTCTAATGAACAGTCTATCACAGAGCAGATGGCAGTGTACTCCATCCTAAAGGTAGGATCTGAAAGGCAGAGAAAAGCAACTTTGAAGTCAAGGCTTACTTGGAAAAAGAGTCATTTTTTACTAAAAAAAAACAACAAAAAAACCCACCACATTTCAGCTATCAGATTCAAACCCAGGAAGATAAAATAATTCTCATGTTACAGTCAGGAAGAGTGTACAAGAGCTGAAAGGCAATGAGTGCTCAACACTGTGAGCAACAAATCACTAGAATTCAATCTTGATCTGTACTCAGGCTTTAAATACATTTTAATTAAAGAAAACATAGAAACAGTAAGCATTTAGTGTTTCTGCAATGCCAGTGTGGAACATCATTTATGGATGTGCAGGGGCATTCAAGATAATATATCTGGAGATTAAATTTACTGCTGATATGTATCAGCCACTGGCCTGAAACCCACTGTATGGAGATGCTGTTTTCTTACCCTTCCTACACAGAGGTCCCAGGGCCAGTGGCTGGTGTCCCTGCCTCACGCGTACACAAGATGCAGTCTGCTCAATCTCTATCAAGTACCTGCAGGGAAGTGAAGGAGGAACAGAGCTAAGTGAAGGAAACCTCCTTCTCACAGGAGGAACCACAGAGCTGTTGAAGCCTAGATGTACTCATGCCCGTGCAGGTGAGTGACATCTCTGCCCATGCACGTCAGATTTTTTCTCAATCCTCTGTAAATGGCAGAGAGCACTTGTGGATTTCCACACCCCTTGGACAGCAATGAATTTTGGATTTGTCCAAATCCCTTTCACCACTTCTTTGCAGTGAAAATAAGCTATTGCTGGAGGGTGGTTGCTTGATTTTTGATTCTGTCTTACCTGTGTAATTCCCAAGAAGCCTAAAAAGCAGTGGGAGGGCAAAGCAAAACATAACCTGCTTGGAAAGAGCAATACTCAGCTGGTAGCAAAGGAGACAGGTTGCACAACATCAGCCTGGAGCTGCACTTCTCTTTTCCAGCCAGGGATGCTCCCCAGGGCAGGTTGCTGCACGCTGCTGCACTGTCCCTGCTGCAGCTCATGGCTGTTGTGTCCTGATGCCGTGGCGTTGTGTGTCCCATGCAACCCGTCTCCTGCTGACTTTGTTCTTGCAACAGCAGCAACAAAATACTTCAAATATGGTGCCCAACAGGGCAGGCTGTAGCCCCTCTGTTTTGAAGGGTATTGGAGGTAGAGCTGAGGCTGAGGTCGCCATAGGGAGGCAGAGAAGGAACCCTGTTGTGCTTGATGATTTCCCATTGCATCTTGCTGCAGAAAAAAGCCCACATTTGCCATTCTGTGTATATGTGTATCCCTCTCTGTGGAACTGCCAGGAGGACTAAGCCTACATATTAAAAGTGGTAACCTTTAGCAAGGGGCAAGTCAAATCTGCACAGGACTCAAGCGTGTTTTGTTTACTCTCTCCATAAGGAAGTATGGCGAGTGCCATGGCACCTGATAAAACAGATGTGGGCTCTGACATAGCTGCTTTGGGGAGGAATTGCTGTCCAGATTCTTCCCTTTGTGCACATGAAGATTGATGGAGGAGAGACACGGTCCCATCAGGTTCCTTCAGGAAAAGTCAGACTGGACTGAGGTACCTATCGCTTAGCTCAAATACTCTGTGACAAAATAAAAGAGCAGCATGTTCATAGTTGACTGTGGAGTCTGATCAGTGAGGGCATTGCTGAAAATAGGACTGGAAAAGGAAGATTTTATGGAAATCTAATCTATAGATGGGACCACATTGTGATTTTTGTCTCCAAACACAGGGAGCTTCTGACTAAAACAAGATGGGTGTAAACCCAGTCATTCTAGGAACTTTTTAACCAACCCAGCATCTGTGCCAAACAGAAGGGGAAAAAGAAAAGCTAAAAAAAGGTGTCACACTGTTACTGCTGGTGGGTGACACAGATGCTAGATTTATTTAAAGCCTGGGACTAATACCTACACTGAATGATATGCAGCTGATCTGGGTGATGTATGAACACAACCCAAGTTGGAAGATTTCACAAGACAGTTTTCAAGGCGGAAATTGTTAAGAAGTGCCCTTTACACATCACCAGCTAAGTGGTGTGTATTTGCTGCTCAGAGCTCTGGTGCCAGTTGGGTGCCTGCCAAACTTGTAATGCTGCTTTACAGGGGATCACTTGCCATGAGGAGCTTTTGCATTTTCTGTTATCCAAACAGACTCACTTGAATGTTAATTTATTCCTGGCTGCCAATGACACAACTCTTCAAAAAGCCAAAACAAGCCCAGCCCCATGCCTGCCGGAGGGGTGCTCGCAATCCCTGCTCCAACAGAGATGCTGGCTTGCTGCAGTCAGGGAACAATCTGTCATTGGGATATCGAGCATCCAGCCACAAAAGTATTTCCTTCTTTCAAAATGCAATGCTGTGGCCTTGGCAAAAAAAAAAAAAAAAAGAAGGACAGCGGCTTTTCCAGGCGGACAGGACAGAGGCAGATATTTTGAAAGGAAAAAAGCCTCTTGGGTTTTTTAACCTGGGCTACAGCAAAACACCCTGGTCCTTAACAGGGCTTGCCGGAAACAGCAGAGTGGCACTGTCAGTGTGAGCAGGTCAATGTGGCTGATCTTGTGGGATCAAAGCTAAAACCATCAGAAACTTCCCTGTGCTGTCAGATCACTGCTCCCACAGTGCTTGTGCACAGGGTCCTTCAGTAGCAGGGTGGGGATCCCTCTGCCTCAGGGGAGCCCTCTGGGTAGGAGTGACCCTGTTGTACCAGGACTCTATGATGGTGCATTGTGACCTTCCTGCCACCCCTCTGAGTTTTACCTTGAATGTGGCAAAATAGCAGCTGATGGCCTTGGCCTGGCTTCAAACAGGATTGTTTGTCATCTCACTTCTAATTCTTTTAAGTGTTTGTAATGTCTTCTGATGGCAATATATAGGTTATTCTGTGGGCATGTGGGCAAAAGGGAAGCCACCTCTCTGTGTGGCTGCTGTTCATGGCAGCACAAACTGCAAAACTCCTGGACCCCAGGGAAAGCAAGGGATGCCCAGGGCTGGAGAGGAGAAGGGAGAGAAATGCTGAGAGAGTCTAAAGCAGATGGGAGAGGAGAGCGACGCAGAAGGTGTGGTAGGAAGCATAGGGGTCCCTGCTTGGTGGGGTTAGTGCACAGATGGTGGGATGCAGCACTTCTAGTGTGTCCTGTTGCTAGCCTCACACTAAGGTTGAACACCCTTTTGCTGGGAAAGAGCTGGTGAGGGGATACCAGGCTGTGGCCATGGTGCCAACCTGACACTTGCTGCGAGGCATCGGAGCAACGTGGATTCATGGGAAAAAACACTCCCATGTACACTCATAGGTGCATAACCCATTGGAAGGTCAAAAGGCACAGACTAATCTCATAGTTGGTTTTACAGGGTGTTGGGATCTGCATTGAAACATCACTGCTTTGACTAGAAAGTACCCAAACAGGTTCAAATCTAACTAAATCTTCCTCCTCCTGCTTAATTTCTGTATCAAACATTTTGGATACTTGAAGAAAAATGCCATTTTTTTGGCATCTGTTTTTAGCCAAGGAAAAAAGGCGAGATTGTTCAAAGTCTGATTAAATATTTAAAGCATAGTTTCTATTTAGAAACTGGCACTTTATCACTTTAAACAACCCATTAAGCTCATCATCACACTCATCTTTTCGGGCACAACGCCTTTTGCATCTTCTGAATGGGTATTTGTGTCATCACTCAGCATGCTCTGAGGTGAAATTAATCTTCCATTGTATTGTTTCATTTTACTGCTGACTGAAATAATATTTTCAAGTACCTTTTGCAGTGTTTGTGTTCTTTTCATGACACATGGCTTATGGAGGAAATTTGAAAACAAGTCACAAAATTGAGATCCCTGATAAGCTTCTAAAACTCAGATATTCTGCTCAAATATTCTGCCATTAGTGTGCTTTGTGTAATTGCTTGTTTTACCTCTAGCAGATGCAGTCAATGTTGCTTTGAGAATTGCTGTGCTCTTGAAGCCCTTTTAGTGTTAGGTGATAAAATACTTCAAGATGTGGGGTTTGCAAAACAGCAGTAATCAGTTCTGGGGGATGGAGACTGCAGAAAGTCCAGCAAAGGCCAGAGAAAGAATTGAATCATAGACTTCTGTAAGAACCAGGGATGTCCAAGCACTTCTCAACACTTGTCAGTAGATAGGGGATTGCTGGCAGACACAACGCCTGCTGCAGTGGCAGCATCCCAGGAGTGGTAACCCAGGTAAATAGGTAGCAAATATAACTGTTACTAGTGTGAAAAATGTCACCACAGCAAATCTTACACTGTTGTAGGATGATCTTAATTATTAAAATGATAGAGATGAGATGAAGTGTTACCACTGCACTCACGTAGGTGGGAAAACCAAATGAGCACCATGTGAGAAAATAAGTCAGCAGATACTTATTTACTCTCTATCAAAAGACTGCAATGCTTGCTAGAAGGATCAGGTGAGAAGGGACTGTCTAGAGCAGTCAGGTATGACCCCAGGTGATGACCAGGTGTATAAATAAATAAAATCAATAAATAAGCAGAGTTCTGGCACTTATTCCCAACACCGAATATGCTGTGAATTGGGTAATAGTGCAGGAGATCTGTGTGCCTGTGAAGCAGGTCCAGCTACTAAGAACACTGTTTGCAGAGATGATTTTGCAGCTGTGATCCAGCTGTGCACAGAGGGATTTTGTGGAGCCTCCCCCACAGTCTTACCTCCTGCTACATGCGGTTGTCTTCCAAGTAGATTTACTGCCTAAATGAAAAAAATATTGGACAGTAAATATAACTTGCTGTAATGAAGTAATTGACTCCTGCTGTGTTTTACTACAGACCTTGGATAAAAATAGATGTATATATGGAAAGCCTCGACTGCCTTCTAAATTGGGAGAACAACTAATTTTACTGGATGATATATTTTGCAGATTAATGCAGCATTTCTTGTAATTATTCAACAATTTCAGGTTGGTCCTCTTTTTCCTTAGTTTTCACTGGTACCAAAGCGTGGCACATCTATAGAACGATAACCTTGGTACTTGCCCTGTTAGGGTTGGAAAACACCCAGAGACTTTCTATTTGACTCTTAAACCCAGATCTACATCATTCTAACACAGCAGATACAACTTTCTTCTCCGTTCGTGGAGGGAGGGACAACATATCCAGATCTTTCTTGCCCAACAGGGTGATTCAAGGACCCATCACGCTACACCTGGATATGGTGAATAGCTTCTTTGCTACAGCAGCCCTGAGTTGCAGTCTTGCTTCCTAGCATGATGTCTGCTTGCAAGGGAAACAATGCAAGCAGGTACATAACTGATCATTTCTTAGTCTACCCCAGTGGTGTCCTGTGTGAAGGTATGCTGCTATTTTAAACCCTTGTCACTGCAATGATGAGGATGTGTTATAATCACCTGCTCTTCTTCCCATGTGTCTGTCACCAGATGGCTGTTGTTGATGATTTATAGGATTGTATTTCAGACCTCATTAACCAACATAAGTGGCTATGTGCTAATTTCATCCTGTCAAGTATTATTTGTAATAAACATTCCAGTTAGTTTCACCCAGTGGGGTTTATTGACTAAAACAGCAATGAGGCACTGCCCACAGGCTGATCTGATGGGTCTGTCATTAGCAAACAGGCTGGGTGGATACCCCCCCTGTCAGCCACCGTGTGCTCCTATAACCACCCTTGCTCAGCATCTGTCAGACAACAGCAAGCCCCATTCAGGAATCCCTGCTACCATCAATGAGATAGTTCCGTTTACAGCCCTCCCTTTCCCTGGTGATCTGCAGCATCTTTAAGAACATACTCAAACACAACCTCATACATAGGTATTTTCTGCTTATCTGAAGAGCTCACACCAGCATTGTCACCTTAGGCAACAAAATGTTATTTAATTCAAGAGCCTGTTAGCAAAGCAAGGTGAATAGCAGAGTGTCTGAGGGCACAGCTGGCCTCACAGCTCCTGGCTTTGGATGCTGGGATCCAAATTCCCTTTCAGTAATGCCCAAGCTATGGAGTGATTGGGGTGACTCCCTCAACTTACCTGATGCTCTTGTGTCACCAAAGCCCAGGTGCAATGTGCGGTTTCTAGACAAAATCTGGGGGAAAAACACAAGGTTTTAGCAAGGCTGTAAATTCCACATCCATCTCCAGGAGTCCAGAATCAGTGAGTAGAAAGCCCAGGGTGCAAAAAGACCCCAAGACAGGCCAAGCACTGCTTGCTGGCTGGCCAGTAAGGCTGAATGCAGAGAGAATCCCAGCTAGTTTAGAATGGGCATTTATTTTTTCTCTACTCCAAAATAGCTGCAGTCCATATGGCATTTACTGACACCTGAAAAAACAGAAAACTGTAACTTTATTGCAATGGGAACTGGGGTCAAACACAGAAGCTGGTGCTGGAGAAGGATGCGCAGTGCAGGGCTGGAGATACGGGATATGCCTGTGAGGCAGCCTGTGCCTGCAAAGCCGTAGGGGAAAGCCGCTGGGGTGGACTTTCTCCTCACCAGGCTACTACTGGTCATGCTCCTGGCAGCAGTAGCTCCATCACATCTCATGGTCCCACTTGCCCTGAGTGCAGAGCAAGGTGCGGGAAGTTGAGCACTAAGGATTTATTACAGGACTCAATGCTGTCATAACAGAAGCTGTAATCAGCATCATCAATATGATGCTCGTTACCAAAGGCAGGCTGTCAGTGTAACATGAATAACAATAAATCCTCCTGGAACAGCAATCCTGTGGTTAAGCTGATTCCTAGTATTTTAAAAAACTGAATAATATGCATCTGTTAGAGGCTACAATTGCTGTAGGTGAGGATTGTTACCACTGGTACCTTCCTAGATGAACAGATGGTGCTTCTCCTATGTTTTGTTACTGCTGTCACAGACGGATTGAGCTCCTGGTTAAAGAAAGCCCTGTTTGGCAAGATTTTATCTGCTGAGGCTTGGAATAAGGAAAGCAGCCTCGATGTCAGGTCCCTACATCCCTATCCAAGAGCCACATTACTGACATGGAACCACTACTGACTGGAAGCATCGCCAGTAGACAGAGCAAAGCTAGGAAGAGAGAAAGGCATCACAAGCCTTCTGTGCAAATCTAGCCTTCTCTGATGACCTCTGAAGCCACTACAGCCTGGGCAGAATTACAGAGGGAGGAAGGCTTCCTAAAGAGCAGCAGCTTCTATGTTGCCTCCCCATCATGGGGCAGATTACGTGGCTCTGATGGGCACTCCAGTAAAGGCAGCCTCGCGTTGCTCTTGCTGCTCCTCAACCCGCATTCAGCGGTGTTCAGCATCCTCCCATGAGTCCTGGCTGCAGCACCTTGGTTTGCCCTGATGTTAACACTTAGGGCACACTCACCCTGAAGAAGACTATGCTCCTGGGCCCTTGTCTTGCAAACCCAGGTAAGCTAAGCTTTTGTACTGCAAAGCCACATGTGGCTTTTATCAGAGCAGACTATTATTAGTGTAGCCAAAGCTGCTGTGAAGAGTTAAACAGGAAGATTTTTTGATTACTTTTAGGGTCCTTTCTGTCTTGCTCCTTGGACTACTCTTAAAGCTTTGTCTTGGCACATAATTAGAGCCCTTGGGTGGTTTGGCAACAGATGAGTAACTAGTCCTAATAACCCTGCCTCCCATTACCATCCTATCTTAAGCAGCTTTGCTGGCTGGGAGCATCTCCGGATCCTCAATGAAGCAGTCATGTTCCCAAGTAAGTGTTCCAGCAGTGCGGTCTGACTCCAATTGCTCTTAAAATCCCATTTACAGGATTTTTTTTTCTCTTCTGGCAAGTCAAAACGTGGCAGGAAAAGGGCAGGATGGCCTGTGATCCTAAAATGGTCTTACTCCTTTGCACTTGCCATTGATTCTGCCACTCAATTTCTCAGCAATACTAAGCCTAAATAATTTATAAGCAGGGATCTTTCCTGCTTTGAAAAGCTTCTTAAGAGAACTGAATCTTGAAGGAACATCTTAAATATATTTTTTATCATAGAAAAAACTTTCTGGAGATGATCATCAGTATTAGCACTTTTCTAAAGGTCACAAGCCTAAAATTATTCATGATTTTTATATATAAAGCCCCAAACAATGAGAATGAAATTAAAAAGAATTGAAGCAAATGGACTTCATTTCCACAAATGCCTGTTAATGAGCAGAGTATTGGTATTCACTTTATGAATGGACTCTTTAATTTAGGAAATTGAATTTCTCTTCTTTTTCAACTCTCCTGCCTTAAAGCTTAATTTACCTCTGCAGCATCCTTAGTTTTCAGATGAACAAGCAGTAAAGCAGTCACTCCTGGCTGGGAAATTCTTCAGGCTGTTTTGCATGGTGGCAGAGGGGGATGCAGGCTCCTTGAGGGAATGCTTTGGGGTCCCAGAACCGCTGGGTGCCCTGCTCTGAACTGCACATGCTGGCGCTCAGCGATGCTCAACTGGCTCAGTTACAGCCTGCCAGCTCCATACCACCTCACAACCTTACAAGTATTTTTTTTCATACAGCCCAGTAAATGCAAGCTGCTTTTAAAGCATTTTGATGGCGTCAGGAGGGTGTGATGTGCTGCCCATCGCTTCTCACAGCAGGCAGTAGCCAGAAGGACAAGTGTCCTTCTGCAGCCTGTCTCAAGCATAGACAGCACCTACTCCTGCCTATTCATGCTTCCCAAGTGTCCCTGTCACTTAAACATGACAATTTGAAGAATAACAGTCAGATGATTCTCAGCACCATCTGTCTAAACATTGCTTTTGCTAGGAAGTCAATTAAACTATATTTTTTTTCTTTGCAGAGAATGATAGCTGCAGTCTGATGAGAAATGCACTTGATAATTTAATAGGCATTTTGTCTTTTTTCTAACAAGCTGTGTTGATTTCTGAGTAGTCTGTTATTCACTGAGGGAGGAAAATGAACGAACTGAAGTAAAACATTAGAAGATCCATTAATGTGAATGATCTCTGCAAACTAAAAATAAAGCTTGTGAGCTGTTGGGATTATTAACATTTAAATTATAAAGAAATATACGAAATGCCAAGACTGTGTGCTGGGAAAAATGACAGCTTTTTAAATTATAAAGAATTGTTTTGAAATAATAGAAATAATCAAATTTTGACTTTTAAAGTAAGAAAATTGTTTCCCTGCCATATTTCTGTGTAGTAGAATAGTTTCAAGGTCAAAATCAGAATGTTCAATAGTTTTTTCAGGGGTCCAGTTTGAATGAGTCAATCCCAGGCTGTGAGAGGCTTTTTGACATGTTCAGTCCACAGAAGTGTTTTACTGTTTTCTCTCCCAGAATATGGAAAGTCTTCATAGTCTCAAATGCAATTTGACTGGAAAACCTTTTTCTCACTCAGCCCTGGTGCTTTAACTGACTGTCTTTGGCAGAATCGTGGGGCTGGTTATAACAGCCTCGTGGTGCTTTAGCTGATGGCAGTGACTTCTCAGCCTGGTAATATCCTATAATAAATGCTCCAGCACCTATAATAAATGCTCGGAGCAATGTAGAGATATTCCAGCTGCTCCAGCCAATCAGCCAGCTTCATTTGGAGCTCAGCTCAGATGCCTCTATACAAATGCCCGTAGCATGGGCAACAAACAAGAGGAATAAGAGATGTTTGCACATCTACGGGAGTATGATATAATAGGCATCACAGAAACATGGCGGGATGGCTCCTATGACTGGAGTGTTGGAATGGAAGGTTACAGGCTCTTTAGGAAAGACAGGCCTGGCAGGCAGGGAGGGGGAGTTGCCCTTTAGGTTAGGAGAGTATGGAACTGTGTCTGGGGACAGGTGAGCAGTTAACAGAGAGTTTGTGGGTCAGGGTTAAAGGGAAAACAGCGATGGGGGACATTACTGTGGGGATCTGTTACAGACCGCCTGATCAAGGAGAACCTGCAGATGAAGCACTCCATAGACAGATAGGAAAAGCCTCACGCTCGCAGGCCCTTGTTCTCATGGGTGACTTCAATCACCCTGACATCAGTTGGAAGGACGGTACAGCCCGGCACAAGCAATCCAGGAGGTTCCTCGACTGTGTAGAAGAGAACTTCCTTCTGCAAGTAATAGAGGAGCCAACAAGGAGAGGTGCCATGCTTGACCTCGTGCTCACCAACAGGGAAGGGCTCATTGGAAATGTGACGCTCCAGGGCAGCCTTGGATGCAGTGATCATGAGACACTCGAGTTTGAGATCCTCAGGCAATGAGAAGAGCGTGCAGCAAGCTCACTGCCCTGGACTTCAAGGGAGCAGACTTTGGATTCTTCAGAAACCTGCTCAGTAAAGTTCCATGGGATACAGCCCTAGAGGGCAGGGGGGCCTGAGAGTCTTGGTTGATGTTCAAGGGTCACCTGCTACAAGCTCAGGAGTGTTGCATCCCAACCAGAAGGAAGTGCAGCAGGAGGGCCAGGAGACCTCCTTGGATGGGTAAGGAGCTCCTGAGGAAAATTCAAATGAAAAAAGAGGCTTATAATAAGTGGAAGCAAGGACAGGCGGCATGGGAAGAGTACAGGGATGTTGTCCGAGAAGCTAGGGACCAGGTTAGGAAAGCTAAGGCTCAGTTAGAATTAAACTTGGCTAGGGATACTAAGGATAACAGGAAGGGATTCTACAGGTACATAGCAAATAAAAAACAGACTAGGGACAACGTAGGCCCCCTCAGGAAGCTCTTGGGAGAACTGCCTACACAGGATTTGGAGAAGGCTGAGGTTCTGAATGACTTCTTTGCCTCGGTCTTCACTGGCAAAGGCTCTGACCAAACCACCCAAGTCTTGGAAGGCAGACACAGGGACTGTGAGAATGAAGACCTTGTGCCCACTGTAGGAGAGGAACTGGTTCAAGACCATCTTAAAAATCTGAACGTGCACAAGTCCATGGGTCCTGATGAAATCCATCCACAGGTCCTGAAGGAGCTGGCAAATGAAGTTGCTAAGCCACTGTCCATCATACTTGAGAAATCATGGCAGTCAGGTGAAGTTCCCAACGACTGGAAAAAGGGAAATATAACCCCCATTTTCAAGAAGGGGAAAATGGATGACCCAGGGAATTACAGACCAGTCAGTCTCACCTCTGTGTCTGGCAAAATCTTGGAGCAGATTCTCCTGGAAGGCATGC